TGCCTGCATAACTATTGCGTTAAAGATGTATTTTTTCCTAAAATACTAGTATATACATAGGACGATAGTACGATGCAGATTGAAACGATCGAAAGAGGCTAACGAACATTAACTGCCTAACCAACTACCTATTATAAATGTTATGACGTATTCAATTGGTTGATATATCTATTGTGACCACTATATTATTTCCTTTTATCTCTGTGTCTAAGGAATGTCGGCCTAAGTCACTAACAAGACTTCAAGATCGCACCACTCATCCTACACTCATCTCCATTCATACTTGGCTTAAAATACCTACTTTGTATGGTCGCCATTTAATAAGAAAGTATTTAAGTATTAAACGTTGTTGTAAATAAATGATAAAACCATGCAATTTTTAATTCAAAACAATCAGAACCGAATGAAAACCAAAAACCATCAAAATAACATCCAAAGTACATAGTTACATACTCAAACAATAAAATAAAAATACATGGCTTGTTCATACAATACAATAATTCATATGCATAAATAATAAAACCGAAACAAAAGACTAGTTTCAAACGGAATGTTAAATAAAGGAGTCTAATTATCTGGAACAAAAAGACACGTTTTGGCAATTAAATAGAAATAATTATAATTCCAGCTTGTGACAAAACATGTGTTGGACAACCCCATGACGTGTTGTGGTCATTTATCGCAATTTGTCATCGCCGGAACAATTAAACCTGCCAATGTATTCGGTCCGAAAATTGGACTAAAGATAAAAATAGTTAGTTCAACTATCCAATATAATAGGAACAACTTTAATTTGCAAATAAAAATAAATCATGCTTTCAAGAATATATTGGGTTTTAGAGGGTAAAACTTGCCTTACTTCATGCGCATGGACGCATGGTGTTTTGTGATAAGAACAGCTTTTTACTTCCAAATTTGAGTTTTGTGTCGTCAAATATATTTAAAAATTATTATTCTTCAAAATTGAAAGAAAATCTGAACTTTTTGAACCCTACACTTATGCATTGGTTCTTTATTACTCATATCTTTTAAAAGGGATTCACGCAATGAAATGTAAAGAAAAGCCTTCTCAATCCAAAATTTATTTATTTACTGAATGACAATCCAAATAAATAAGCTGCAGAAAACTCATATTTTTATTATTTCATATAAAAAAATCAGAAGAATATTTCTGTAACCAAGCAAATTTTCCCCCATGGTATTTAAGAATAACTTAAGTTTTGAAATCCAGAAGGGCAAATGTCCAATTCTCAAACGTCTATTAATCCTTCTAAACACTTATAACCCTTACATAAATACAAAAAATACCAATAAAAAATACAAAAAAGTACATAAAATAGTAGTACTATATATATTATTTTTAATATACTCTATAGCTTAATAATAATAATAACAGTACGATACCAGTGTAAAATACGCTTTGTTAAGTATACAATTTTACTACATGCACATAAAATATGGCAAATAAACATAAAATAGCTAGGAGTCATAGTTAAATAGTCAATAGTTCTTATGAGTCATTTTAACGGAATAATGTTTCTTGGATAGGGCGAGTTTACTTTATAAAATTAATACATTTTTAACTAATAGAACCCTTGACAGATCTAAAATACTTATTGGAAAAAGTGACGTCTTTAATTTTATCAGATCTTGAACCGAGAGAAGAAAATGTAATCTTTACAAATATCCGCACCGGTTATCTAAGATGAGACCATAAAACTAAATTGTCTTCTTTCCGAAACTGGTCGATCAGTCTTTCTACGTTCAGACGTTCATATAAACTATCGTACACGAAAAACGAACACGTTGGTCTCCTACATTATCCCGATTTAGAAGAGGTTTCAAAATATTCATCCACACTTTTATGGGGTTAGTAAATGGAAGATATGGCATTTTGTGCTCTAGGTAACAAAAATAAAAACAAATACCCCCACCTCAGCAAACCTGCAGGCTTAGTGAATTTCCATTTGCCTGATTGGATTTGCACTAAAATGTATCCTTAAAAATATCACATTTATTTCCTATTTAAATATAATTAGTTTAACGAGTACTTAGGTTTGCTGCAACATGGAGGGTAAAAATCCAAAATATAAAAGCAAACGATAAAAATCTAAAATGTATAATCCAAGAAGAATTTAAAATAGAACACGTTTCTTAATTAACTTGAAACAAAACATAGATTATAGATTCATGGAGGGTACCTCTAGAGTAAACAAGCAGCAATAAACTAATTTCATAATCTTCCCTTAAAGTGATCGGTCTCTTTTTTGTAACTCATATAAAGTTTTATTCTAAATTTTTAAATCGTCACAAGACAACATTATTAAGCTATTACTCGTTTGAGTGCAATCATCAATTGTATTTTAAATTGCATTTATTAATTTTACTTCGGGTCAACTAATTAAGTGTAGGTATTGTGAGAAAACACTTGAAAATCTTTGATCTAGCTAAAGAGGGGTGATAGCCCCACTTTATGAAAGAAAAAAAAAAACAAAATACATAGACTATTCGAAACAAAGACTTTATGCAGACATTTCGTTCTAAATAATTATGTTTTTCAATCAACAACAATAATTATAATACATAACAGTTTAAGTATTTTTTTTTATTTACAGATAACTTTAGTAGAACATTTTATCAATCGAATTTACTAAGAAGATCTTTTGTTCCTGCATACTAGAGAACACATATATTTTTATCCTAATCCTAATAAATATTATTTTCATTATTATTTAAATGTAATAAAACTATAAACATACACTGTTTGTATGGGATCAGATATAGAGCATTATCATAAAAAAATAAAATAAAAATTCAGTTAGAAGATAAATAGTGTTAAAATGCTAGAAGTAATTCCCATTATTTAAATCTTCATAGAGGAAAAATCCAATATGATTGGTCTTCATCACGCTCTCTTTGGAACATGAATTATTCAATTCAGTGTTTATTTACTACCTCGAGGCAATTAGAATATTTCAAGCTCAAATCTTGCTAAATTTACTTTGATTTGATATTTTATGTTCAAATTCTTATTTTAATTGGTAATATTTTTCAACGTGTTATTTGCTTGTTTAATCTATTTTATAGATAGGAGACTATAGGAACCTCAATTATTTTATGTATAACGGTGTCTTAGGTAGGCTAAATAATATATTGATAAATGTATAAAGAACTATTAAAACATTTTTATATAATTAAATCTTAAAGTTTTTTTAAAAGAGCAAAGAGTATTTAAGAACCAATTATGTCTGTTTCAAAACAAAACAAAAATTACATTCATCGAACATATCAATAATACGAGTAGTTGTTTTCGCGTGACAACATGTTATCTCTGTTGAGTTGAATGGTTAGGACAGTTATACTAGTAAAACAATAATTTGCATCTTTAAACTATACTTAAAACTATTAGTTGAAATGTTTAAAAGAACAAAGTTAAAACCGTAAATACATTTGGTACTAACGGTAATCTTTAGTCTTAACAGATTAATTTTTGTTACATAACGCACCAAACAAATTACAATCAGCGATACTAAAATATTATTTATTAATTGGGTTTAACACAGACACAACCGTAAGCTAGGCAAGTCCATAAAAATTTTACTCCTGCACGTGCAGTGATTTTCAATGATTTTAGGTCGAAAGCTTCTATCTAGTTTATTAACACTTGATCATTTCATGTAAATAAAGCTGATGTTTTTATAACCCTGATAACATGTTGAGGGTCTGTTTGAAACTGTTTGCCGTACATTTTGTCGGGACTTTCTTGTATGGAAATCTTGAATAAGTTGAATAGTAAAAAAATCAAAAACTCCTAAGACTATAAAAAAAAAACTTTACACATTTTATTTTTAAGCTTTGGATATAAAATTTGGTTTAGAACTTTAACATCAATCAGTACAAAATGTAATTTAATAATTCGTGTATACTTAATTTTGATTTCTTTCCTTATTTTTTAGACAACAAAGGTTGCAAAAATATTAAAGAAATCGTATAGTTGTCGAATACAGCACGTTGTCTTATGGGAATTTCATGGAGACATGGTATATTATGTAATGACAAGCTGTAAACGTTGAGTTTGATGTATCCGACACCCTTCACCTCCCCCTTGTTCATCCTCTACTTTCCCTCACTCATTTATCTTTGGAATTAACTCAATATACATCACAGCTCTGTGAAAGAACTTAATTATGTTGGTCCCAGTATTTCGAAGAAAAAAAGTATTTTACGGATTTAATTTTAAAGCTCAAATTTTTAATTTGCTGCGGCTTACTGAAATTCCCTATGTTTTTGAAATGACTTTTCTTTTTTAATAAAGCGTTACGGTTTAATTACTGTATTCTTATCTTATTTTGAGATTCGCAACAGTACAATAAAGGGAAGAATTTCAGTATACAGTAAAAGCTGATTTAAACTTTTTTTACGCTATTGGAACGTTATGCATTTGTGTAAGGTTCAAAACCTTGGGCTTTGAACTGTCTAACGAAGACGTATTATTACAAGATGACACCATAAAATTGATAACCGTATGATAGTAGCATATGGATCCAGAATTAATCTCACTTGAGATAAATCCAGAAGTTTTCAGTTTTGAAGCTGAGTGCTATAATCAATCTGCTGCCTAGGTTTTGATCCACACTTTATATATTTCTTCATGGGTCACATGTATTAAAAATAATATAATTTTCAAATTGCATATAAAATATCCCCTCGTAAATCTGGAAACATTAGCCGTCTTTGTTCGGTTAATGTTTACCATGAATGATTGTCCATCTAATGATCCATACGGGTTGATCAAAAAGATTTGATTTTTTTATAGAGGTAGGTGATTCCTTTCCATACGTCCTTGAGCCTTGAGCATAGTCAAGCTACACAAGGCATCCCACTACATTCTACACTCATCCTCAACTTATATTTTAGCTGCAATTTTCCTAACACTTCAATTTAAATTTCTTTTAATAATGATATTTGAATCTAAATACTGAAGGATAAAAGGTACTTACTTGTTATAGAGGACGATGTCCGGTAGCCAGATGTGTTCTGAAGGCACGTGAAGAGTGTCAACACCTCCGTACTCGTCGGGGTTCCACTTTAGCTTGTAGTCGTTCCACTCCTGCAACAATGGACGTGACATGTCAACAACAACAACAACAACAACAAACAACAACAACAACAATAACAACAACAGAAAACAACAACATTATGATTATAGATTATAAGAAATTTTGTTTAGGGTTTAGGTAGCTTCAGATTTGGACGCACACAATACTCTTTACTGATAATCTGTAGATCTGAAAAATACTTGTTTACAAGAGGCATTTAATTTGACATGAAACCAACAAAATAAAAAGATCAGGTAGGCCCATTCAAACTAAAGTTGAGTTTTAAAAGTACTTAAAATCTTGCTATTAGAACTATTGATAAAAAAATTGATTGACCAATTAATTATCGGTAAGAATTATGAAGAAAACTTAAAACCTGTTAATGAATTTTAATTTGTAATCTCAGAGTTCGTGTGATAAAAAGCCATCACATTTGATAACTCAAAGGCATCAGTATTTATGTAAATGTATAAGGTGTGCAAGGTGATTTGTATAATGGGTAATGAATGTATAAGGTGAATGATTTATTGGTTAGGTATAATTTTATGCAAAAAATAATGTTTTGAAAAATGCTATCATTTTTGAGACAAGAGAGTAGGATGTCTTAAATCATTGAGTTTCTAATTTCTAATTATGCTGGTTTAATTGATCGGTCTATCGTTAGCTGTTTAATGATGTTGGTCTTAATTTGCAACAGAAAGTATGTTGACAAGTATGAATATGTGTAAACAAGTATCAAGCATGCAATGCACGTGATAGAATAAGCTACAGACAAAACTGCAGCCATAATCTCATTTACGCTTTTAGCGAATTTCCCATATAGGGAATAAGCTATTACCGTAGTAAGACCTGGACCCGGGATAGATTTTTTTCGTTTTGAGGTCCCTAGAGGCCAAAAACACCATCCGTTCAAATTCATATACATATATTCATATATATTTATGTATTTAAATATATATGTCCGTTAGCGCGATAACTCGGAGCAAAAATGATCCGATTTTGATGAAATTTTGTACAAGCGTGTAAACCTACGTTTATTCGAACGAGTTCGCGAACCAGCATGATCGGACCATGGGAACGGGGGTTTATGGGGTAAAAACGGGATTTTCCCATTTTTGGCCAAAAAAACATCACATTTTGCAATGTCATTCTAAACTATTTTGTAGAGCTTAAAAAAACAAATAGCTTAGTATATTGAAGCTTTTTAATAGTTACGAAAAAATTTTAAATTTAAAATTTCTATGTTATTCTTATGGAGAATAAGTAAACTGTTGTAGTTTGCTTGTTTATTAATATATTTTGCCCAAATTTGGAAAATGTTTTTATTTCTTACTAACAATTAACATTTTACATAAAAAAACACTTTTACCCTCCCTGATGCAGCTAACCTAAGTATATGTTAATCTGATTCTATTTAAATAGGGATAAATCACTTAGATAAAATTGGTTATTTGGCAGGATTTGAACCCGGGACCTCAGGGACCGAAGTCCCGTGCGCTCACTTGCTCTCACTTGCACTCAGCTTGCTCCCCGGAGATTTGGTTTGACAATGTTGTATGTTTTAATATAGATGCAGAATCAAATTACTTAAGCTACAGGAGCTTACAAATAAAACTCCAATCTTTGTCTAACACTTGGTAAAAAATACTCCTAACTGTGTCCTCAATCCAACATAAGATTATTATGCCTCTCACAATCTCCATGCTCAACAGCAAATGTCAATAACTTGTACAAACAACTCCGCAATACGACCAGATGCCTCAGTTAATGGCTCAATGACGTCTATCTTCCGTCAACAGATTCATCAATCGATCACCGTCAATTCCAGCGGTCATCGCAACTTGTGACGTGCGTCTGTTGATGGTTCTGTGATGATACGCCACAAACTATCTGAACCTTGTACACTTACACACCGCACATTATCATAATCGTTACATCAAATCTCACAGTCATTCATCCGTTCAAGTGTGGTTAACACTTCCTTTGTGTGTCGAAGAGTTGGTAATTGTGTTCGTATCCAACAAGATTTGGCTAGGAAGTGTATTTCTGGGCTGTTGTTTTTCGAAAAGTTGAAGAGCTAGGTTAGATTAAAACTATAATTTTAGTGATGATTCAAGAAGTATCGATTGAAGTTGCAAAAAAACTGACAGGATATGTCACCTCATATTCGTCACCTCATAAATATCTAGTGAAACCATTTTCGTTTTACCAACTTATGCAATTCAAATTTATTGGGCACAAATATGCGTATAGAATTACGAAATTTGCTATATTAGAGAAAATGAAAATCACTGGAGCATGTGTATCTGGTTAGTGGTTTATCTTATAAAGCAAATCAAAATCAATAAATTGGTAAAAAATGTAGGAGACAAGACGCATAAATACGAGTTTCTCAGCGTTTTAATGAATACAAATATAAATAATGCTTTTCAATCTTATTATTTCGTCGTATACGATTATACGTTCACAAATTAAATGAGGAATTGAATTATTTCATTGTTATAACCATCAAGATTTAAACAACAACCGAGTAATAGTCAGCAACATAATAATACTTCAATCCATCATTTTAAGCCAGCATTATTTTAGAAATTGAGTGGAATACTATAATGTTTGGTCGATTCATATTTATGAGTTGACAACGTGAGGAGGTCCGCAAGGTTGTGCGCCGGTACCAACGCTGTTCCCTGTGGGAGACTCAGCTGCTGAGAATTGCAAAACGCCTCCGTGTGGCCAAGTGCACTACACTGAACTTGAGATGAGCAAATGTTGACATAGTCCTTCGACGGTCAAGGGCAAAACCTTTTGGCCTCGAGCTTTGGTGATATACGTGTTGTACAGCTTTTGAACAAATCTTTAAAAACCTCGCAATTTTAAAAACGGACAGCCAGAAAATTGAACTTCTTCTGGCTTCTAAAATAAAGTATCTTCTTATACATTCATTTCCATTTTAGTAAATTGGTTTTACTAAAAATTTTAACTTTTCAAAATTCGAAACAGTATAATTAGAAAATAAACGGCTTGCCAACAACCTTTATCATCAAATCAAATCAAATCAAATCTTTATTGCCAGAACATTTTACAATGCATAGCAGTGTCAACTAGTTACATGTGTAAGCGGTGGGAGTAACTATGATAATTTTGTAGGAAAACAGTTGCAATAACTTTTGAACCGTAATTGGGGTTGCATTTTTTTGTTTCGAATTACTGTATAAGGACCATAAAAAATTAATTTGAATCAAAACCAGGGTTTTTCTAAAATCATATTTTTAGTTATTTTATGGGAAAATAACATAAGTTACAATGACTTTTGAACCGTAATTTTACAGTAATGGGATCCGTACAGTTTTGTTCAGAATCTAAAGGACTGTAACATACTAAATTTGTATAAAGAGGCAAACTTTAGTAATATGAAATGCATATTTTCTATTAAAGTTATTGAATAATGTAATTTTATTAGTAGAAAATGAAATATGTACGAGATTGTATGCGTTTAATTACTGTACCAACTAAATACTAGGAATATAGTTTACAACTCTTGGGTTGTTATAAATGTTTTTCTTAAGTGGACAACTAATAAATCTTTAAAATCTTTTTTCCATTGAGGAAAGGCTGTAAAGGATGAAATATGAATACCCAATCAAAAGGAGTGTAATACGAGGTTCAATGGCCAGCAGTGAAAGTTTTGACTTTGTAAGATATTTAAGTAAACTTAAGTTAAAGATTGCACTTAAATGAAATGGGTTATACTAGGGAACCTTATGTATTAAAATGCTGACAAAATAGTTTTTATCCTTTTATAATGTATATTTTATATGTAAATGCACTAATCCAATAGGGTTATTCTATAAATCAAAATCTACAGTATCTGAAAACTGGACATAATACCTCTCCCATTTTCCATTAGCCTGACATTAAAATGGGATCTCTTATTACATTTATGAGCAAACATTCTAAACACTTATACTGTGTAACGAAAGGGGCTCACAGGGAATCGAACAACAGGTGTAGTCTGTAGCTGTACATTTTATTGTAATTAGTTGTGTTTTTATAAGGAATATATCACAAAAATTCCAATATCTTTTGCATCGTAACTTTTACAACGTTGAGTGTTGCATCATTGTAGGCAGGGATGAAAGGACTCTAACATACTAAATCTTTACCAACATCGTTATAGCGGGTTTTCCGTTATTTTATTAAATAAAACAAACAACAAAATAAACAATTCGATGAAACTAAAGAATGCAGGAGATACCATTAGTTTTGAAATGATTAGGGAATTTAGAGAGAAGAAAATTTCGCTTTAGGCTTGAGTAATGGAATAGGAATAGAGATTTATCTTTGAATTAATTATTTCTAATCTTGATTACTTGTCTTGAGGTTAAATAAATGTATTAGTATTGAAGAGAGAGAAAAATCCTTATAACTTGTTTAGATACTTAAATACTGTGGAGAAAATCCCAACAAAATGAAAGTAAAAATGATTGAGTACAAATTTGAGATGTATTTCTTGAACATTTAGAACATTTTTTAAAACAACAATAATCACATGTAAAAACCCAAAAACATGTGTTGTGCAGATTAGAAGAAAGATAAACCATAGAATACTTAACAAGTTTACTCACATGTATGTTGTAGTGCATTAAGTTTACAAAAGTTAAATACAATAGAAATATTTAGCTCAGCATTCGATATTTAAAATGTACAACATAGTAGTTTGTGTGGAGACGTTCTTCATTCTAAGTGATTACCCACTAAGTTGGTTCAAGCCATTGGTTCGCACCTGAGAAATGCTCAGAGCTAATGGACTACTTGAAATATTACTGCGGAATCTCATTGTAGGAAAACACTCCTGTTTTGTAATTCTTTTTATGAAAGTGAAATACTTTATAATTAATGTTGTAGATGTTGAAAAGTAGTTAAAAGGGCTGAACTATTTAAAATAGTTTGTCGGAAACTCACATTAAAATAACTTAAATAGGTGTATAAATTATATTTATACACCTACAAGGTAGTTAAACAAATGGTCTACTTCATTTTATAGTTGTATATCAAATTAAAAGGAAAATCAAAGCTATTTCAACTCGAATTTTCAATGCTAGTTATAAAATAATTTTGTAATAAATACAATAAATTCTTTCATGTCGAAGTGCATCTAAAGGTCTATCTAACACTGTAAACTTCCATTATGGTGACTATACTTTGAAAGACGGCTTTCATCCAGTGTTTTTAAAATAAAAATATATATCCGCGGTTTCACTAATCCAAAAGTCAGTGATGTATTTTAAAGTAGTTTCAGAGAGTAAATATAAGTAAATATAAGTGGTAAATATTTGGTTTATTTAGAACAATCATAGTCAGTCCTTTGACCAATTAAACGGTGTTATTTAATAATAATTTTAATGAATGTTGTGTTGTGCGTTCTCACATTACTTACCTGGTACGTTGGCAAAGTATACACATGGGAAATAATAACGTGTGTATGTTTGATATATTAGAGTGGTCAATTCAAACTAGGGAGGTGGCGATCAAAGGATTATTGAGTGACATGGGAAAGCTTTCAGGCGAGCAGAACGCGTCAGGAATATTTATACTTAATGTCCACCGACGTAAAACACATCCATGTGAAATATATTAAAGTGCTCTAAACTCGTTTTTGCCCATGAATATAAAGTATAAAGTGTGACCAAATTAGCTTTAATAATTAATTGCAAAATGAAATACAATGGACGGACTAAAACTCTATAAAACCAGTCACAGTCTAAAAGAACCTTTTTGTCCTAAACCTCCAATTGAGGGGTAATTAATGACCTTGAAACCTTGTTCATAATTTCAAAGCCAGTGGAATGTTTTTAAGAGAGAACCCTAAACGCTTTCTGGGATAGTAGTTGAAACTAATTTAAATATTTTGCAGGAATCGAACCCGACCTTTTTGCAACTAAAGCCTGAGACATTAATCACTGGGCGTGCTGCTATCAACACAACCATTTTAAATTTTTATTTGAAAAAAAGTCAATCATAACCGGTAGATCGAAAAATTAGTGATTTGAATTACCCAATTGGGACAGTTTAAGTAATTAACAATTCGTTAGAAATAACTCAATTTAGTTAAACAACTTTTGTGACAAAATATAATATTAATTCAATTAATAAACTATCACAAGTTATGAAGGTAGCGTCATTATTTTCAAATATTTAACACGGAGTTAAAAGTCACAAATTTATCGTCAGTTTTAGGAAAAGTTTACTAAGTCAAATCTATTAGTAACAAATTTTCATTGAGGTTAGTAAAGGTAGTTGTCCAATTGTTTCTCTTGCATTATAAACATTCCTACTGACTATAATACCATAATCAAAATAGTCAACTTTAAGTAGTCATGTGGTGTCTGGACAAGAATTTACTAAAAAATTATCAGTTAAAATCCATACAAAGTTGAGTTTCACTTTTAAAGCATTGAAAAAAAAAACGAGCATATAAAGAAACAAATAAAGTTAGCAAACGCCAAAATTAAAATTCGAAAAATATCCAAATCAAATTATCAAAATTAACTGAGAAAACTTGCGTAAATTCACTTTTTGTTGGGCTTCGATAGAACAAATAGCTCTTGAATTAAAAGTACGTACAGTACGTTGAAAACAGGTGTTTAATTGTTCTGAACCTAGGTTAGAGTAATTATCGTGCTATTGACATTTCAGATCGAACTGTTGTACTGTGGTAGTTTGAACAAAACAGGCTTGGTGATGTTACTACAAACATAAAAGGTAATGGCAATATATTTATCTTTCGTACACTGTTATATTACTAATGCTATGGTAGCGATTGTAAAAGAGTTTATGCCATACGTATGTAGACATATTTAATAATTAATAAACAAATGTGGGCCTAAATGATATTTTTTTTTAAATATACATAGCGTTAAATAGTATTCAAAATATTCTATATACTAAAATCCCAGTGTGTGTCTCTAAACAAGGAAAATTGTTTTCGTACAGAAACTTGTTACATTTGGATTACAGTTGGTTGTCAAAAGATTCGGTTGACACTGTACAGAAAAAAAGCACAAACAGTGTTTCTGTCGTAATATGTTTTGGACTTACCTCCCTCCTTTTATGCATAGAGAATGAGGCTTATTATTTATAAGATTTTAAATTTTGTGAAACGGGTTTTGTAAAAGTCTTCTAATGTCGCAACTCAGTCCTTGCACTCGAGCTTTGTTTTGTAGGGACCTAATTTCAGAGTATTTTAGTAGCCTACTCATATATTATGTGTATACATATTTACGTAAAATTTTTAATTCGGAAATAAAATAATTTCCAATAATAATAAGCCAATTAGACTAAACTCAAACAGCAAGTGTACAACGTTTATAAAACTAGTAAGACTTATTTTAAACCCCTTTTAATTGACATCCCGATGAAGGTTTTATACATTATGAATGACTTTTATTATAGAAAGAAAGATTCTAGTGATTGCAATTCCCCCCCCCACATCGACAACTCTCCACAAATACTGAGAAGGCTTTGATTCGGATAAATTGCCTCGAATTCTGTTTGCCAAGGCTGGCCAAACGTCCTCTAGCTTTATATAGAATAAAACCTCTGTTTTTACTTCATTTTCCGACTGATGCATTGAATTAAAATATTGAAACACAAACGGAAACATTTAATTACGTTTTAGACTATTTTCTCGTGTTTAAAGTCTAACATTTTGTTCCTGTTCGAGTTTTAACTTTGTGATGGCATTAGCGTTTGACTCATTGGCTAAGAAATAAAGATTCGAATTAGGGTTTGAATTTCAAACCAAACGTTTCTTTATTAACGCATCAACGGAATTAATTATTAAAGAAATTCATGCGATATTGATATACTTTAAAACAATATGATAATTTGATAAGAAAAATTGAGTTTAACTCAAATCTCACTACCCTGCATGGTTCATTACAAATTTCTACACTAACTTGACAGAGAGTTTGATCAAAAAACAATAACATACATACAAATAATGTACAAAATAAGTTTACTAACAGAATGCAAACACACTCGTATCAATTTATTTAATACCAAAACCAAACAAACATAATATGCAGACTTTACTGATTAGCCTGCTTTTAATTTTAGAGCTACAAAACAAGTAAGCCTATTGTTGAGGCTCTAGTTATTTAAAACACATTTTGAAACTATTACCTATTACTGGGCATAGCATGCAGACATTGATTTTTTGCAGCCTCTTCAATTTGAATAGTACATAGGTAGTATTTAAATCCACATAATTATTATCATCATTATTTGAGATGGAGACGCCACCTATGTGCGTATTTTAACCCAGATATGAATGAAGTATGCGTGTACAATGGAGTGTGATGCCTTGTGTAGGTTTGTTGACTAAGACCATCTGTTTGATTAGTCAGGACAATTTATTTAAAGTCCAATGATCAAGAACAGGTTGGGTCCAGTTTAAATCTAATTTTAATATCCCAGCACGCAGTTAAACTTTTAATCACACAAATATGAACTTAAACTTTAATTCGTATTCAATGTAAGTCCAAACAGTATATCACACCAAAATTGATGGTATTCGAAAACGATCCGGATTGCAATCAGACACTGTAATCCGCAAAAAAACAAATCTAATCCAACGGAAACTCAGCTGAGCTGCGCTTCTTCCATAGATTTTAATCAAAAATCCTTGTTTTGATTGTGTACCGTTCTTTGATTAAGGTCATAAACATCACTTCAATGCAAAGAGCACTAGTTGACGAAATGTGAGAGTATTTGTCTCTAGTATATTAATTTGTTTCCTTTCTTTATTTACTCACGGCAATATGCTTTTATACATTTGAGTAGCCCATAGTAAGTGTATTATTTGCAAGAAAAGGTTTGGAAACAATGCATAAAAATTAACAAACAGAAGGTGAAGAGTAACCTCAAGGCAACAAATAATAATCAAATAAGACAATTGTAACAGATGATGAATGAACAAGGCTATGGTGAAGAAATTTCTTACTTACACTACCGGTATCAGAACCAAGGTATTAGGTATTTTTTGAATGTGAAGTCTTTTCTAAAGAATATGTGTACACTTAAAAAAATATATTCACTATCTGTAAAAGCTTTTTGTTACGCTTCTCATGCTGTATTGGTGAAGTATATATCTGTATCGCATTTACAAATTCACAAAACCTAGAAATTGTAATTTTTACACTGATCAATAGTTTCGGAATAAGTCTATTTGATCAATTTTCATTACTAATGCTATATTATAGTTAATTATCCCGACATCCGTAAAACAAATAAAAACCCTGACACTTCCACAACGACACAATTCCACGAAACCACAATATCATCCAATATAAATTGTAATTGGTTGCGAAATTGCCTCATTATAAATGAACAGTATTTATTTACTGCCTAATTAAATAGCGATTTAATTAAATTAGAGATGGTGAATCGAGTTTATTATGTTGATAAATGTAGCAGTCCCAACAATTGCAGTGTTTACAGACCAACCCTGCAGGGCGGGGATGAGTTTGTTTTGTTGGGGGGGGGGGGGGGGTTGGATCTCATCACCTAGGGGCGTTTTTCAAGTCCCGCTTCACTTTAATACTGCACCTGCTGTTAGGAGTCTACTTAAAGCTGATTTACCCGAGGGTTGGAATAACTTAGCTACTTTTACATCCATTACATATTTCCTCGGGATTGAGAAAACAATTTTCTGGGATCTGTATTTTGGTTCTTTGTTTTGGATGAAATAGTCTTGTGGGGGGGGAGTGGATTTTTTCCTTACTACACCAGTTCTTAGTAATATCGTAATTTTCATTTTGAGTACATCACTAAAGAATAAGTACTTATTCTTTTGACCAGCCATATATAGGTTCTCATTTTCATAAGGTTGTTTCAAACAGTCATAACAAACAATGCACACACTGTGGACTATGGCTTGGGTAAGATCATCTTCGAAAGTTCAAAACAATATATAGATTGAAACTCTCCAAGAGCAATTTTGGGCCGACTTGGGAAAAGTTAGAGATTTCTATACTATAAGGTACTAGTTAAGAATTCGTTGTTCTTATTGATCTTATGATCTTATGAGCGTACTAATAAAATTCTCCCACCGTAGCATATCTGCAGACCAAGCGAACTTCCGTTTTCCTGATTTTTCCTTAATATGTTAGATTCATTCCGAATCTATATATAAAGCCCAAAGTACCCATGAACTTTTGAGAAAACTACAAGTCACACCCCCATAAACCATATACTTAAAATGTTCGTCATGACGAGAAACCTTGCGCAAAACTATCCATTATTTCATAAATTGTCCTTTAAGGTTCTAATTCCTTTCTAAAGGGAACTTGCCATATACCTAATGTTAAAAATACCTCAATTGTACTTATTTGTTTGTATTACTGTATTCTGTTTTGTTTATTCCAGCTTAACTTAACCAATCAATAATTTTATTAATACTTATGAAGTCACGTTTGTGGAAAATTTCTTAAAAATAAGATGTTATTTACTCGACCTGTCGAGCTAACCTGCACATAAAAAAAACACACACAAATATATGCATCAGAATTTGAACGAATGACATTTTTGGCCTCTGGGGACATCAGAACAAATAATTATATCAGTCCCGGGTCCAGGCCTTACAACGAGACCTTCGGTAATAGCTTATTCCCTATATGGGAAATATGCCAAAATGATAACGGTAATTTGTTAGTTTGTTAAACGAAATGCAATTAAAAACGTAATTTTGACGAAATTTATTACACTAAATAGAGTAGTTATTAACACGACCAGATATACATAAAGGGGGTCGTCGTGACCATATACCCAAGATTTATTCTCAGACCCAAATATAGATTAAACTGTAACTATTAAAAGTATTAATTTAATTAACTAACAAACCATTAAATTTAAATGCACTATTTGGATGTCTCCAACTCAAAAGCTCCAATTAACAAATCATCTCACTATAACAGCTACCCAATGATAAAGAAGTTGCCAGTAAATTAGTCAAGTCATCAAGTCCAAATAGTTAATAACACTGCAAGCCATTTGTGATTCATCAAAATAAAGAAAATGGTTCATATTAATGAATATTAGACGTAAGCAGGTAAAACCACATATTGATAGTAAATTCCCTATTATTAGCCTCTTAATATGCTATACATTTGTATATTTAAATTTCAAATAAACCCATTACAATAAAACCTTTAAAAATGATATTTTTTTTTAATCTTTCAAAAAACCCAGGTACAAGTTGTCAAATCAAATCCAACATAAAATAAGACATAAAAAATGTACGATTTGATATAAAAAAGACAAACTATTGTGCAATGTTGTGATGGTTGTTGCTTAAATTTACTCTAAAGTTGGTAAAGTTGCAGATCACTTCTAGGGAGGAAAGGACGTGTTTTACGCCCAGACTAAGGGTGCGATGTTAGCTGGTATTGATTGCTTGAAGCTGTGCGGATTGCCCGAGATTGCGAAGGTCCGGGCACTATTTGGCTTAATTATTTATCCGATCTCAAATTTAACGTCTACCCAACTAGTTCATGATCGTCTCTTGAGGGACCAGGTGCTTCCGGATGGTGAATTAGGAACGCGACGTGAATAGTTTGATAGTTCACTGGTTTAGGTTGTTGCACTTATATCAGCTGTTTATTGTTTTTTTTGCATTGTTAAACATTTCATTGTTCAAGGACCCGTGACTTTGTAGGCAGTAATTGATACTTTTGAATTTTGGGACAGCTAAAACGAAACAA